TGTTGGATTATCAAAAAGAGCGAGATGTTAAGAAGAAAAAGAGGAAAGAGGAGGAAAAGAGGTTCAAGTTATTTAGTGTTCTACTTGCAAAACCAAACCTCTCTGAGGACGACCAACAACTATTTCAAAAATTGAAAGAGGATTTCATCCACCTTTTAGGCTAGTTATTCATGTTGTTAGTTTAATGTTATTTTAAGTTAGTTTAAGCTTCATCAACGTTTGCCTTAATTTATGTTGCTGTTCATTTGGTATGATTTAACAATTGTTTTCTGAGCATATGTAAAACTTGTTTTAATTAATTCTATTTAAATATAATTGAAGTTATTGACTTATTAATGAAGAAACTCTTTAATCTCATATTCTAGAGATATGGGCACAAACATTGGTTTGCATTTGGATGGAAATCTGCAAACCTTATCAGTAATCTCATCTTCTAGAGTTGCGTGCCTATATAATAATTCGTAATTGGATAGAAATCAAGATATATGATCAGAATGATAAGAACATCTCATTATCTAGAGTTGTGTGCCAATACATGCTTTGTTTTGTAATTGGATGGAAATCTGAAAACCTTATCAGAAATCTCATCTTCTACTTTTTTGTTCCCATACATTATCTCATCTGTAATTGCTTTTAAATCATTTACAAATTTCTATATAAGTCCTATTCACTTTGTAGTTCAACACACAAACAAAAATACCCTTCCTCACAAAAACAGTCTCACACGAAACACTACTCTTACCATATATACCCAAAATTAAATTCTGATTCAAATTCATCTAGTTCATCAAGTTATGGTATTTTTTATTATATGGTGAACGACTATGTTGAGTGGCACGAATGAATTACTCAGAGGTGTAAGGAAGAGGAATTAATTGAGGAAGCGATCAATTCAGCTGTTGTCCCCCTTGTCACCTCTAATTTTCAGGTCCCATTCACTCCTGGTCCTGAGAAGCAAAGGTGGTACGTACCAAGAGATCGTGAAGATGCTGATACACGGTTATATAACGACTACTTCAGTCCCAAACCACTTTATAATGACGATATGTTTTGTCAAAAATTTTGCATGCGTAAACACGTTTTCACGCGCATTGTTGAGGAGCTAAGCGAAAGTAACGAAAACTTTCGACAAAGGGATGATGCCACTGGAAGACTTGGTGCTTCGGCTTTTCAAAAATGCACTGCGGAAATGAGGATGTTGGCTTATGGTACAGCAGCCGATACAGTTGATGAATACCTCAAAATTGCGGCAAGTACAACAAGAGATTATCTCCAACACTTTTTTGAAGGGGTTATCTCTAAATTTGGACAAGAGTACCTGAGGAGGGCAACACCTTCAGATGTAGAGCGGCTTCTTCATGAAAAAATGTTCGTGGATTCCCCGGTATGTTGGGGAGCATTGACTACGTGCATTGGGAGTGGAAAAATTGTCCAAGTGCATGGAAAGGAATGTACCAAGGTAGAAGTATAACAACGACCATAATTTTAGAAGTTGTTGCTTCCAAAGACTTGTGGATATGGCATGATTTTTTTGGCACACCTGGTTCACTAAATGATAAAAATGTCCTCCAAAGGTAGCCAATGTTCGATGATATTTGTGAAGGTCGAGCCCCAAAGGTGAGTTTTAATGTGAATGGAAATAGATATAATATGGGATACTACCTTACAGATGGTATATATCCAAAATGATATATATCCAAAATGGGCAGCATTTATCCCAGCCATCAAGCTTCCACAAACTGCTAAGCAAAGATTATTTACGAGGAATAAAGAAAGTTATCGCAAAGATGTTGAGTGTGCCTTCGGAGTGTTACAAGCTCGATTCGCAATAATACGACAACCAGCTCTCGCATGGTCGACAAAAATCCTATGAAAAATTATAATGGCATGCATTATCATGCACAATATGATTGTTGAAGATGAGCGAGAGAACTATTTGCATTACGATGCATCTGAATTTATCACTGATCAACCTCAAAATATAACCGGATCTTCAAACCAATATATTAACCAACCATTCACTGTGAGAGAAGGACGACTACGTAATCTCAGTTTAGCGGGTTACATGGCAAACAAAAATAATGTCCGAGACAGGGAGACTCATGTGTCATTGAAAAAAGACTTGGTTGAGCACGTACGGAGTCGTTTTGGTAATGAATGACGATATCAAGTAATCGGATAATTATTTTCTTATGTAATGTTTTTTTTTTTCATTGTTATGTTTTCCCATGTTCTTTTCAGTTCCGTCTATGAATTAAATGTGATATTGTTATTTTATGAGTAATAATAGTTAAGTCTTCAATATATTTTTTTTAATAATATTTAAACTAATCATGTCATTATTACGAATACTTTGATAATTATTACAAACAATAATTATGTAAACTAAATTAATGACAAATTCAAGAACTTATAGATGTCATTAGTTCGACTAATATGTTTATTAGAAGAATAATTAAACATAAACTCCATTGGTAGGAGAGACAAAACATAGTGAGGTATTGATAAAAGTAGCAGAGAGAATGGTGGGGTTACTCACCATTGTAGGAAAAATAAAGGGAGTGACTCAAGAGGGTGACTCAAGATAGTGGAATATGATGTGAAGGGGGAAAAGTAGGGAAGAGAAAATTGTGAGCCACCCCACCATTATGGGTGCTCTTAGTTTGTAATAGGTTGTTTGCCCTAATATAATTAAGAGTTGAGTTTAAAATCCCTTGTGGTCGTGGTTTTTTTTTCTTGATTAGGGCCAAGAAGTTTTTCCATAGAAAAAATCTCTATTTGCACTTTAAGTATCTTTGAGTTTATTTTACATATTTCTGCAAAAATTACCCTTCTTCTTCTACAATACAATTCATCCCTTCTTGTATTGTTCATTCGAGTCAACACAACGATATTATTGCAAATTATATACAATATTTTTTTTTTTACTATAAACATTCTATGATAGATTGATAACACAATATCTGCATGATTAAAGTAGTATAACCTCCATTCTGCATACCAAAAGCTTTTAGCATGTAACATCTTTATTGAAGCTTAATTATTACCATTATTATCTTTATTTTACTCAATAATTTGCACTCGTCTCTCGTCTACTACAAAATTTAGAACATTAAATACTGTCATCTGATCTTGTAATGCTTTGCCGCCTTGTAGTATGAATTGCTTGAACACATTATTTTTCTTTCTGTTTTTTTTTAAGGATAAAATTGAAAACATATTATTCATAAGAGTAATTGAGGATAAATGTGTAGATAAACATTTTGAAGGGTAGAATTGGAAGCACACTATTCATAAGAGTTTTCTTGTACTTTTTATATGGTATGGATATGGATTTTTATAAGGTAGGGAAGTATGGATATTATTGCTCCATATTAAATGTCAAACTTTTTTCTAATATCAATAAGAAGTTTCAAATCATATATTTTTGGGTTTTTCTAAGTTATGCTCCCCAATTTCTTTGGTTCTGAGTTGTACCCATACATTTTTAAAGTTATAAGTTGTGCCCTCCACCTCACGATATTTTATCAATAATACCCTTTAACAGTCATATCCGTTAGCGAAAGTTAAGTTATTTTATCAAAAAAGGTGTCATGGCGTTATTAATTTGACACGTGTCCCGTTCTAATTGGTTTAACATTTTAAAAAAATTTAAAAAATCAGAAAATAAAATAATAAAAAAAGGTTATGTTTAATGTCAAAGGTTATTGTTAATAAAAATTAGTAAGGTTGATGGTACAACTTAGACGTTTGAAAAAGCATGATCACAGCTTAGAAATCGAAGATGTTTGGGGGGCATAACTTAGAAAAACCTTTTTTTTATCTGGTAAATTAATTAAAGAAATATGTTTTTTATAGCATCTATGTGCAGCTCTGGTTATAAATTAGTGGGTTATATTTTGCATACCAAAAGAAAAAGGAAAAATGGAAATTAATAATCCCACATTTGCTATTTCTGCTCAAAACAATCCCACCTTTTTGAAATTTGAAAACAATCTCACCTTTAACCCCCATCTTATCAAAACAGTCCCATTTACTTATAACCTGTTTAACTGGTTAAATTTTATTTTTAATTTTTTAATATTTTTCTTTAATCTCTCTCCTCCCACCTCACCACCATCTTTCATGGCAGCCCACCATAACCACCACAACATCACCACCTAACCCCCCCACTCTCACTACCCACGAGCCGACTACTGACCCCCACCTTCTTTCTCCTTCCTTTTCTTGCAACTGCACTTCTCTCACCATCGCCAACCACCTCCTCAACACCACCACAACTGCCGCTAAAACCATCCACTTACTCTCTATCTCTCCACCGTCAACACACCTAGAAACCTACTTTACCAGATTCGAACCCCACCGAAAGCCCAAGCCCGAACAAAAGAGAGTTCGATCAAAACTCCCTTATCTTATTCCAACCGGACAATGTCATAGATTTCGTCGACGGTGTCGAAGAAAGGTGAGTTCAAAATGCGGGGTAGGAGGATGTGGGGGCGGCCTTTGCCAATTGAGGATGACAAGTTTTGGGTGGTGGCTACCACCAAGCGGTGTACATGGAAAGGGCTGAATTTGACAGTGGATTTTGAACACCGGGATGGGGGCTGGTTTAGGTGGGATCAAGCAGAGGGAAAGGGAAAGGGTATTGTTGTATTTTTTTTATTTTTTGTTTTTTTAAAATAAGACTAATTAGAAGGTGACACATGGCTACTTACCTTCTAAAATAAGTTACCAATTTTACAAACTGGTTAAAAGACTATTTTGAGCAGATAAGAGTTAAAGGTGGGATTGTTACTAGATTTCAAAAGCGTGAGAAATTGTTACTACATTTAAAAAAGGTGGAATTGTTTTGAGCATAAATGACAAAGGTGAGATTATTAGTTTTCATTTTTCCAAAGAAAAATAACATGACAATCCAAATACCAAAGAATCACTTATGTACAAATTACAAATACATCATTATATTCAAAACGATATAAAAAATTAAAATTATAATAATTCTAAGCATCGTCGTTATATATAAGAACACTGCATCCTACTCGACGAAAATTGCCTCCATTATTATTACCACTATTACTATTATTAGTAATTCTAGGAGATGCAACATTAACAATGGCATGCTTACAATTAACCTCCAAACTATTGCCATTTAAAGAGGCCGTCAAAAATACATCAAAATCAAGGTATCCATTTCCGCTCTCGAATCGAAAATCAAACCTAGATGATTCTTTGAGCTTCACGTTAAGGGCCACGGCCTCGGACCTTAACATGGTCACGTTCTTCTTCCTTTGCGTGAAATTGTCTAAGGCATCCTCGCCGAGTTTCTGCTTGTTTTTAAAAATCGAAATACGAACGCTAGTGTACTTAAGCTTGAGCTTGTGATTTGGGTTATTTGCCTTAATGATCACGTCGAAGAAGGAGGTGAGATGACCGTCCGATGAAAGATTGAAGCCAGTGATTGAGGCGTGTTCAAGGGTGAATTTCGGGTCCTTAGGTTTCACCACTGCTTCATAGATGATTATAGGTATGCCGATCACAATAAACAAGAGGATCAAGGTAACGATGGTGCATGATATTACATGTTTGCAAGACATTTATAAAAGTTGGTTTATACAAGAACTTTTGTTTATGGTACTTAAAAACAATGCGATTCCTTCATTATTGATTTATAGGATGCTGTTTATTTGAAGTCTTGAGGAAATTGTGACGTAAACTACATACACAAAACAAAAAACAGGCATCTTTGTTTTTTTAATTAGCATAGAGTGCAACATGCCAAAAATTAAAGGACAAGTTATGGACGGAAATCGATCACATATTTTGCTACCAAGTAAGTTGGTTTGTGCATGAAGTCTAACTATTTCATAGACGGATTGTTTGAAAATTTATGGAAGGATTCAAAAGAAAGTTAAATGGATAAGCATAGAGAAATTAATAAACCAAAATTGTAAATAATAATAATAATAATAATAATAATAATAATAATAATAATTGCAACATTATATACAGAATATGGGACTTATATAATTCTATTTATGTACTATAATTGAATTGGTCATGCTAATGACTATTTTCTTACAAGACAAATGGTTGCAACTACTTTGATCTAAATTATAATATAATATAATAAGTCACTTTCATTATAATAAACAAATTAAACTTTGTTAGTTACCTGTTCGTATGTATAATAAACAAGTATATTCATATACAGAAGATTGGCTGTTGAACTCTGCTAATAAATACTTGTATTCAATTCAATACAGTGATTTAATGGAAGAGTACATTTGGAACTATATGCTCCCTCCGTTACGAATTACTCGCAACAATTACTAAAAATGGCTGGTACACATTACTTGCAACAAACTTATTTCTTTCCTTTTATGGTATGTTTTTTTGTGTGATATTACAACATTACCCTTACTTTTTTTCCTAAACACCCTAATTAAAGTAGGGATTTTATCTTATTAAGTTAAACCCTAACATTGATTTAATCACCTCCCATCTAAATTCATCATCAACACCACCACCACCACCACCAACACCTTCATTGGAAACAACCACCACCACCACCGATCGCTACTAACGCCGAAAATCACCGCCGTCGTCTTCTTCCTTGTCGGCACCTTCGTTTTCTCTCTCTTTCTTTTTTAGATCTGACTTTTTTTGGGTTCGTTGTGCGTTTGGTGGCTCGAATTTCTGGGTTTAGTGCTTGGTGGGTCGAATTTCAAGGTTTGGTGCTTAGTGGGTCGAATTTCTGGGTTCGAATTTCATGGTTTGGTGGTTCTGGGTTTGAATTTCGTGGGTGGTTTCATGGGTTTGAATTTCTGGGTTTGAATTCATGGGTGGTCTCGTGGTAGTGGGTTTCGGGGTTGTGGGTCTGGGTTCGTGGGTTATGGGTTTTGGGGTGGGTGGTGGTTAGTTGTAGTGGGTTCGGCGGTTGTGGATCTGGGTTCGTGATGGTGGGTTTCGGGGTTGTGGGCCTGGATTCGTGGGTTGTGGGTTTTAGGGTGGGTGGTGGTGGGTTGTAGTGGGTTCGGCGGCTTCAATTCGCAAAGGGTTCGCAGGTGGTGGTGGTGGTGCTGGGTCCGTTGGTGGTGCGCTGGGTGGTGGTGTTTTCGTGGTTGTGGTTTTGCTAGGTAGTGGTGGTTTCGAGGTTGTGGTGCTTGGTGTTTAGTTTTTTTTTTATTTTTTTTTATTTTTTATTTTTTTTATTATTGGATTAATACTAAGCACATCCCTTATTTTCTAATAATCACACTTGTTTCGGGGTCTTCAGATGTCCTGCGGGAGAGTTACAATTCCGAGACTGGAACCGGACGCCTGTACCTGCAAAATAACGGAGACTCCTGAGAGCTCCGCCTCCAACGGTCAAGTTAGTACTTGATTAAGGAGTAATAAGTGCGGAAATTAAAGTAATAAGGTCTCTCTAGGTGAGAGTGTTTAATGTTGGTAATCTGCTTTGTTAGCGAGATCAACCGGTTATTAGTGTGTTCCGTAACGTTTCCGTTCTGTCCCCTCCTTAATGAGGATTAATTAAGTATTTATAGTCTTGAGAAGCGTGCCACTCTCTAGGTTTAGGGTAAACCTAGGGCTGACCGGGCCTCTAAACAGGATTGGGCCTTGTTGGCCGGTTTTCCCATTTGGCATGGGTGGACACGTGGCGTGTCTCAATTGGTCCGTAGAGGACGTATCTGTGATTGACACGTGGCAGGCTCCTATTGGCCTACGTGAAGGACACGTGACGGAACCTGGTTGGTCCACTTGTCAGACGGTGATTGGTGGATAAAAATCCCCTAATCATTTGCCCCTCACAGGTGGCACGTGACTGGTCACGTGTCGCCTGTGACAGGTGCCGCACGGTGACAGGCGACGGCCTGCTACAGGTGTCACCTTGCAAATGGCCGAGAGATTTTCCCGCCCAAATTTTGAATTTGGAAGCGACCCTTCGCCTTCTCCTTTTGCCTATATAAGGAAGTGCTGACTTCGGTCATTTTCACATTTGAGAACTTTGCGAGAACATTCGGACCCCTGAACTTGCTCTGACATTTCGGACCTTTTCTGCCTACCGCCTGTTGTGACAAGCCGATTGCACAGGATTTTCAGAACTTCATCAACCGTCACTCGTTCAGGTAACTGTCAGTTCTCTTACTCTTAATTTTTCTTTTTATTTTTTTTTTTTTTGAAATGGCACCACGGAAGCACACGACACGACCTAAGTTAGTGATCAGCCGGTCACCGGGGACGGCTGAATCTAGGACTAGGAGTGCCGCCTGCCCTTTTCTGGACCCATCTTTGCCCTTTATACAAAGTCCGACTGTATCTGTGTCTATGCAGAACGTGATGGCCAGAACAAAAAAGACTGCTATGATCTCAAACTCGGACGGCTCCTCCCAAAGGGTGCTCATTAGTGAAACATCTGACCAGGCGCCAGATGTAGAAGTGAAACGAGGCGGCTGCCAAGCCGACAGTTCTGAGGGAGGGGTCAAGGTGGTCCCTTCCCATTTCTCCGTTGATATGTCTAATTTTCCTCCTGCTCCTTCTAAGGGAGAGGAGGCGGGCCCCTCTGGGAGAGGGGAGGAGTCGTCCTCTTCGGACTCGTCAGAGGACGAGTCCGAGTCCAGCTCTTCTGGCCACGCTTCTCCAGGCTCAGAAGAAAGAAACAGCCGCCTACAAGAGGCGAGGCTTTCTCATGCAGTTGAGAAGGGGGACAATTGGGCGGAGCCGTCCGCCTCTTACAAAGAGGAAAACACCCCCTACTACTGCACGGTACCCCGGGGCCGGATCGCAGCCATGCAAGACAAAGTGGAGAGCTTTATAGCTAACCACAGAATGGGCCCCGAATTTTTACTGTTCGTGCCAGATCCAGAAGACACTGTCGTGTGGCCGGCTGGTACCAGCTTTGATGACGGCTGCTTTGGCTGCTATGTGGCGGCCATCAAAGCTGGACTGCGCTTCCCATTACATCCGGCTTTTCAGCGGATTTTAGATGGGTATGATTTGGGGTTATGGCACTTAGCCCCCAACTCTTGGGTAAACGTACTCGGCTATGTGGCCGGGTGCGAAATGTACGGGGTGGAGCCAAGCTTTGAGGCTTTCGCCCACATGAACTATCTCAGCCGGACCCCTAAGTCGGGAGGTACCGGCTGGTATCAATTAACAAGCCATAGGGGCTACCTCATGATGAGAGGTAAGGCGAACAAATGGAAGGATTGGCGGAACACCTTCCTTATCATCGAGGGTTCAGACACGGAGCTGAACAAACGCTTTAACAAGTTGAATAGGGATCCGCCTCTTCTCGCAGGCGGCCGCAGCATGCCGCCTGTTCCCCCAAAGGCTAAAAAAGAGATCCTAGACAAAGGACTCTTCAAAGTAGAGACTAGGGTGAACTCTACTTCAGGGGTACGAGAGCAAGTACCCCTAAACTGCGTCCCGAGCTTCAAGTGGCTCTATGACGAGTACTTTTTGGCCGCCTGTGGCCTCAGCAGTCGGTGCTCTAGAGGTAGCCGGCCTGACAAATACTCTGTTTTTTCACGCCTTGTTTACTTGGGATTTTTACTAACTTTGCTGTTTATTTTTTGCAGCTGACGCCATGAGTAAAATAACAGCATCCAAGACTGCGGCGGCCATGTTACGGGCCTCTCTCATGCAACAGTCTTGTACCGACTCCCCCAACAAGGGGGCACCCTTGGTAGGCTTCGAAACTCTTCCTCTTTTAGGAGTTGTCTTATGCATATACTAACTCTTCCTCTTTTAAGTCGGGCACTCCAAGAGCTTCTTCCTCGCAACAGCCGGACCCCAAGGCCCGGAGGACGACTGTTGCAAGCTCTCCTGGGTCTTCCAGGAAAACAGTGGCGGCTGAGAAGCAGCCGGCCACTTCTTCTAAAACTCCGGCGGGGCCGCCTAGAAGTATGGACAATTACTTGTAAAAACTTTTACACTTGCTTCCTTCTTGACTAGGTCTTACTTGCTTTTTTACGCTTGATGCAGCCGGCCCTCAGGGGTTTGACTTGGTAGAGGTAGCCAAGTCCATGATCAAAGTAGTTCCTCCATCTGAAAGGGAGGCGGTCAGGGGTGTCGGCACCCTTGACCTTGATGGGATTGCAGGGGTCCTTGCTGAGGTAATATTTTTGAGTATTTGAATTCCAGGACGCCTGTTATCTTTTTTGTTTGGAAACTGACGCCTGTTTTTTTTTTTGTACTTAGGCCCTGCTCCGAGTTAACGGCCTTCGCAAGCCGCTTGATCGGAAGAACAAAGAGGTAAAGGCTGCAAAAGCTATGGCCGCCTCTGACTGTGATAAGGCAATGTTTCAAATTGCCCAAAATGAAGTACTGACCATTGATATTCTTTATTATCAGGCGCAGGCTACCGCCGCTGTTCGGGCTCAGTTAGAGGCGGCCCAGAAGAAGAATGACGAGCTGGAGGCGACCATCACAAATCTTAAGGCCGAGCTGAAACCTCTTCGCCAAAAAATGTGCTCTTACGAAGCCATGGAGAAATCCTTGGCCAGCGTAAAAGAACGCCTGGTGAGCCAAGAGAAGAGTCTTACCCAAGAGCTCTCGGAAAAGACCGAGCAAGAGAAGAAAGAGCTGGTCT